TAAACTTTTCATACGAAACATTTTTCTCTATCCCTACTAGTTTTCGAGATATTTGACTGGATCACTTCAGATGGTCCACCCTGTATATTAAGTTCGTACTCAGTAGTTATGTCGCTCTCCATGCCCTATTGGCTATAGCGAATGCGTTTTTCGCTATCTTACAATTTGTCATGCCCTAACAGGATTTCGGACACACCCGGTATGTTCGGTATGCTCAAACTCTGTGATCGCGCTCCTAATAGGTCATAGGCAGCGATAGCGGTCGCGTTTTTCGATAGCTCATCGTTTACGGTTCCCTAACGGGATTTCGGATACACCCGGTATATGTTATCCGTCAAAATTTGGTTACTGTATTAGTTCCGCGTCGTATTTGGACATAGCGGTCGCGTTTTTCGATCCCGTGATTTTTTCTCTACTAATTTGCAATTTCGCGGACCCCCTGTTTTTCCGGCCCTTGTCGCTCGTTGCCATCTAGCATACTTGTGACGCGTTTAATTTGAATGTTTCGTTTTTTCCGAAACCACTGAGGCTAAGTGCCTCTAACAAAAAGAAATCATTTTCTTGCATATAAAATTAACTCATAACCCTGGTAGCAAGCTGACGTCAAAAAGACGTCATTTGTCTTCAAAACGACGTCAAAATGACGTAACTTGCTACCTGGGAATTGTCTTAACCCTTATGCGGGTTTCCGCTATAATTGCGGTATTGGACGCTTAATGCTGACGCTTATATATTTATTGAATATGTAATAATATATGTATATATTAATTAATTTTTTTTTATATTTTTATCATTTTATATTTGTAACGCTATTTACATTGGTTACTTTGCGCTATTCGCCTTCCCGCGTGTCCGCGGTTCCGAGGGCGAATGCGTGGAGGCAGGCGTATGTCCACTTCCGGCTGCAAGGTCTCCACAAGTTCCAAAGGTTGGGAGGCAGGAGCTCCTCAGGGTCCCTAGGAGAAACCACTCATTGGGGTTCCACGCACCTCTGGTGGGCAGGTGCTCCGGGGGAATTTCGCCCTTTCCGTGGTGTTCCGGCTTCATTCGCCCTGTAATACTGCGCCGGCGGGGGGGGGAGGTTTGCTCCTTGCCCCGTGTACGTTATTGGAGCGTTTTTTTTAAAACGATTTCCCGCATTTCTCCTTTTGGACAGAGGTATCTCTGCATGCCAGACAACAAATAAAAAAACACCCCGATCAAATACACGCGTTGGAAGGCACCCTTATGGGCGAAAAACCACCATGAGGGAAATCGTTTTTGGATTTTTTAGAAATTTTTAAGTTGTCCCCCCCCCCCATAGGTGGTTTTTCGCTCATAAGGGTTCCTTCCGACGCATGTATTCGATCGGGTTGTTTCTTATTTGCTGTCTGGCATGCAGAGGTACTTCTATGCAAAAGGAGCAATGAGGGAAATCTTTTTGAAAATGCGCTTCAAGAACGTTTCAAACTTCAATCAAGGGGATCCTAAAGTAAAGCTCGAATTCTAATGAAATCACTAGATGTCGTGCCGCGCGTCGCACATTGACATGTCTTTTTATACTATCATAGCAATATCTCACGCAGGCTATGATACACGCAGTCACACATACGTGTAAAATTTCGTACAACGAATTCGTCGCGATAAAGCGTCTAAATCTAATTCTAAGAACTCGACGTTGTATGTTCGTGCAAATTACGTGTTTGTGAACTATTATTTCGTACGTTCGGGTTGCAAAGCTTTCATATCAAGCAAATGTTGTCACGACTTAACAGCTGAACGCCATGTTACACTAAGAAATGGTAAAAAATAAATCGATTTCGAAATTTTTGATCATTCTCAGCATAGACTACACTTCACAAATATGTATTAATGCGTATACTTTAATCCTGGAAAAGGATTTTCGAATCCGTGAAAGAGAAAAAGAGTTATACAAAAATTATACGTGTTTAGTCAGTAATACAGACGTCTTTAGGATCCCCTTGACATTAAATCGAATTTTATCAGTTAAAAATTTGAATCTACTTATTTTACAATTCACGCTAACGACATTATTATGTATTATATACTTTAAATGCAAATTTAATCCAGTTCATATGTAAAAAAAACTGTTACCTGCCCGATATCTTCCTACCTAATATTTTTCTTTTAAAATCGAACAAAAAATGAACATATTTTAGTATTTAAAATAAATAACATTTCTTACCCATTTCTCCATTTTCATTCTTGCTTATATCTTTTTATAATTTGTAACTTCCGTGAAAAAATAAGTTTAAAAACATATTTAATAACGGTATTTTAACAGTGTATTTCGTAATTCTTTCATAATTAATACGTATAATGTAAATATTATTTCCACTGCACGATTTCTATTACTATATTATTATTGTGGTTGTACAAATACTATCCAAATTATATATTGATCATTGATCATTGGAAGGATGCAAGTACAGTAAAATACGAAACCGAAGACTGCATTACCTTTAAAATAAATGCCAGTATTTTTAAGAAAGATTTCAAAGAAACATGTAGTAACATAAATTTGGTAAATAACATTTACTGTGGAGAAGCTCTTCAGAGAGAAGACATAAATCTTGCCAGCGCTCAAAAAACAGGGTTGCGTGTTCCTTCGCATCACGAACAGAAGCAGCTTTCGTGATTCCGCAGGTATTTCATACCAAGAAGAATTGTATCTACGACAACTTTGAATCTCAGTCGTCAATAAAAAATTTTTCGATTTTACCTATTTTAAGTGATTAAAGTCTTACATTTTGTCGTTTAATTGCAAGCTGTGGTCAATCAATCTCTGTCCTTGTATACTAAAGCAGAACGTATGTATCACCTGAGCAAGGATAGACGCCAGGTACCTCAACATTTCATTAATTTCGCCATACAGTAACCTAACCTTAAACACGATGAATACAATATTTTATATATTCTCTCGATTTAGTATACACACTGTACAACAGGAATTTTGTTTTATAGTAAATAGCAAGTGATTTTCGATAATAACGAATTTTTAAGACGTTTCGTTTTTCTTTTATACAACTTCAGAAATTACCAAAAAACAATATTTTCTAAAAAGTAAAGTTGTGATGGAGAAAGGTTACGAGTTAATGCTAATTGTTAATTGCTAACGATTACTCTATCTTCAATTCAATCGGTATAAACATTTAATATACAAATGTTCCGATCTTCATCATATCATCTTCAGTGTAAAACATAAAACAATTGAAAATAAAAATAAATTTAAAAAGGGTTATAATCGGTTACATAATAATCAATTATTTAAATATAGCGCGTTTATGAAGTCATTAATTAAAATTGTCTGTAGTTTATATTCTATTTCGATGGAAAGATTGATTATATCGCACGAAGTCGCATAACTAAAATCATTAAAACACACAAATAATTTTGTCATTTTCACCCGGTTTTATTCGAAAGTCTGTGATATGATAGTATTTTTAATTTCGTAATCTACCAAAAAAGCTTATCAGAATTATTAGGTGTTAAACTTAATTCCTATCGCTCGCTACTACAGGGCTCTGCCTCCAACGCTAACGAGTTTCGACGATGAAGTCACATGTCTTTTGTAGTTTAGACATCGCTGAAAGTGATTTAATCCTCACAGGTTAGATTTCTCGACGCCAAAGAAATTTTCCAATCGATTGAAAATGAATCGCGATAAGATGTTTTTCCGACATGTGCTTCTTCACTACTTCGACCTCAAGAAAACCGCAGCTGAAGTGCATCGCTTATTATCCGAAATGTATGGTAATGAAACTCCATCGGAACCAACATGTAGAGTTTGGTTTCAACGCTTCTGAAACGGTGATTTTGATGAGACAAAGAACAGCCGAAAAAAAAAAAAATTTTAAGATGTCGAGCTGCAAGAATTGCTCGATGAGAATCCAGCCCAAACGCCTTTAGAGTTGTCGGAACAGTTAAATGTTACTCCAATGGCCGTCTTAAAACGCTTGCATGCCATGGGAAAGAATCATAAAGAAGGGAAATGGTTACCACATGAGTTATCAGAAAATGCCATTTTGAATCGTTTGACTGTTGCGACTTCTTTGCTTGCCAGACAAAGAAAAAAAGAGTTTTTTGTGGCGCATCGTGACTGGCGTTGAAAAATGGATTTATTTTGATAATCCCAAGCGGAAAAAATCATGGGTGGACCCCGGCCAACCATCCGCTTCAACGCCGAAGAGGAATACTCACGGGCATAAGACCATGCTGTGCGTTTGGTGGGACCAGAAAGGTGTGCTGTATTATGAACTCTTGGGTCCAAATGAAACCGTTACAGCTGATCGCTACAAATAGCAATTATACCGATTGAATGACGAATTGATGCAAAAAAGATCATCCGTAACAATTGACAGTCATTTTGTTGCATGATAACGCTCGACCGCATGTCGCGAAAAGCGTGAAGCAAACACTTCGAGAGCTTGAATGGGAAGTTCTGCCGCACCCAGCGTACTCTCCAGACTTGGCACCGTCGGATTACCATCTCTTCCGATC